GGGGGAAGAAAGAGCCACGAAAACATCAAGTCTAACGGGCACCAGTGGGCACTGGGGGAAGCGGGGGGGCAAAGGAGTAGAGGGTGCAGGGGGTGCTGCGGGGGGAGCGGGCGAGGTTCTTCTCCAAATACAAAAAGAAGGCCTTGCAGGATGAGGCAGAGTCGAGGAAACGAGATGAAAGTGTGTGGGGTACACTATTTGGCCTGGACTCCCCACCCTCTTTTTTAGATCTAGAAGAGTAAAAATACCGAAGTCTTTTTGCTGTAGGACCTGCAAAAGGAGCATGAACAGACTTGAGTATGCCAGGAATGCAAACATCCCCACAAAATTACCCCGTGTTCTTCCCTTGTTAGAAGAGCGTTCGTAAAACCAGGACTTGGAAGCCAAAAGGTGCCGTCCGACGTGAAAGCAGGCCCACATGTTTATAAAATCCCTGATCATGTTAAAGCTGCAGGTGGCACAGGGCAGGGCTGCCTCCGAGGGAGCTTCCGCCATGGCTGGCAGCGCCCGGGCACTCACACGGCCGGGTGGTGGTGCTTGACCTTCCACCGCCTGGACCTCACCCGGAAGAAGAAGTACATCACCATGAGGAACAGGGACGAGGCCACGTACAGCACGACACAGAGACTCATGTCCAGGCTGGAGAAGTCAACCCCGAGGAAGGGTGCAGCGCCCCCCACCTCCTTGTGGGCCCCGGGCCCATCCGGATCCTGGAGTTTCACGTCCAAGCTGTGGTGCAAGCTGTCTGGAAGGGCAGGCCTGGGGCCCAGCGCACTGGGTGGACGGACGCTCTGGGCGTCTCGCTCTCCACGGGACATCTCTGGGGGAGCGAGTCTTTTCTCCTCCTCCTCACCCCTGGCCAGGGCTCCTCCTTCACCGGAATCCCCCTGGTCTGCAGAATACATGTCTAAGAGGTTGTCGCGGGTGTAGTGCTGCTTCAAGAACGTGAGCACGTGGCCTTCATCCCAGCTGGCCAGGCCCTTAATTTCCTCGTGGCAGGCTGGGCAGAGGTCCGGAGTGGGCCACTGAAGCTTTGGAAACCTGGGATCCTCACTCAGATGGCCTAGGAAGGAAAGGAAGCGGGAGAGCCCGAGGTAAGGGGGCTTTGTGGAGCCACGTGCAGCGTGAGGCAACCGGACTCCCACTCCCACCACCGCGGGCCTCCGCTGCCCCAGCCCAGGGTCCTGCCAGGCCTCCCTCCCTGCCCTTCCCACCACCCTTCCCTTGCAGTGCGGCCCAGGTAACATCCTGCTTCTGCAGGCCCCTGCGCACGTGTTCCCCTCTGCCGGTTCCCATGCCTGCAAGTAAGGGGACGCTACATGCTCAGCCTCCGCCACCTCCTGGACCGCACCTGTCCCAAACCACCCAGCACTCTGCTTCCAAAACGGAGCACACAGCTCTCACCTTGAAGCCTTTGTCCACACAGTGCTGCCTGTGTGCCCCTCCCCTCACTGCTGCCCCTCTGCCCTTTCCTGAGGGTGCACCTGAGGCCCACTACCCACAGTGCCCCGGCCACCTGGGCTCTATGGACAGTGGGCCTCAGGTGCACCTTCAGGAAAGGGCAGAGGGGCAGCAGTGAATTTCCACTGCACTTCAGATACACGGGCCCTTTCCAGACTACAAATCCCTTCAAATCTCCAAAACTCGTTTCCAAAGTGACACCTGCTCACTCCCGGGCCCAACAGGCATCCGTCATGCAGAAGCCGTGGCAGACGGCGCCTCCCAACTCTCCCAGCCCCTGCCAGCCGACTTGTTGACACCCGGCCGCCCTCAGAGAGCTTCCAGAAGTGAACGTAAACGCAACCACGTTTGTTTGGGGGACTTCACACGTGCCTGAAATCAAGAGATGCCCGGCTCGGGCCAGTCACTGACTGCCTATCCTGCTAACCGGTGCCAGATGCTGCACACGAAGCCAGAGGGGACAAGCACTGACCAGTGACGCTTGGTCAGAAGCTGCCAGAGCCTCACAGGACTGTGAAGTCAGGCGCGAGTCCTGGGCAGAAGACCCCGGGCAGATCTCCGAGGGGCCTCCCAGGAGCTTGGGTCTCGAAGCACAGGCTGGAGGTGGGACTGGGTGGGGCGGGACTCTCGGGAGGGACAGTCACACCGGGCTGTAAGGCCCCTTTCTGCTGCAGCCTCATGACTGGAGTGGTGGGGGCACACGCAGGCTGGGGCCACAGGTAACAGCAGGGGCTCCAGGTCCAGGCAGGCCTGGTGAGGGTCCTGGTCCCACTGCCTCGGAGCCGATGGCTCGGGGAAAGCACACGGAGCGCTGTGGGCGGCGGCGATGCAGAGGCTGCCAAGGTGGAGAGGCGGAGGAGCTGCGCTGACCCAGGGAACAAATCCCACAGACACGCGGTGCCTTCGCCACATGACCCCGGCCCCGGCAGTCGGGCTCAGGCCAAAGAAAAAACCAATTTCTTTAGTGCTTCAGCTGTAATATGTTTTTCTAATACAGTGGATTAAATAAAAACCAATAGTTTAGTGGCATTTTCTATTCATCTCTATTAGGATTTATTTCTCAGTGGAATTATTTTTAAGCCTAATTTTAATCTGCCACTGATTTAGGAACAGTTTGAAGTACTTGACTCTGAGAAAACCCATGTGCTCTATTTAATTATTTTTTTTTAACAAAACCACTTGGAAAGGTTTGGTTTACAATTGGACAACAAATTTTCATGCTACTAAAATTCCTCGTCAAAAATTAATCACGTTCCAAGCTTTCCAGAGTCAAAAACATCCTCAGAGTCTAACAGGCACCAGTGGGCACTGATGGGGGAAGAAAGAGCCACGAAAACATCGAGTCTAACGGGCACCAGTGGGTACTGATGGGGGGAAGAAAGAGCCACGAAAACATCCTCAGAGTCTAACGGGCACCAGTGGGCATTGACGGGGGAAGAAAGAGCCACGAAAACATCAAGTCTAACGGGCACCAGTGGGCACTGACGGGGGAAGAAAGAGCCACGCCCATTCCCACGAGGGTCCAAGAGCCCCCCGAGTGAGAGAACCATCGAGAAAGCCGGGGACAGAAGCAGTCTGGGAAAGGCTGAGGCTCTGGCAGCTCCCAGCCACCCAAGTCCTGATCCCATCAGCACAGTGGGTAGCACAAGGCCGCAAAGCTCAGGGCCAAGCCCCACCGCAGCTGCGCCATCCGTGCTGTCCCAGGACCAGGGCCTCCCTCCGCCCGTGCTGAGCCCCCCACGCCCAGGGGCTTCTCACCTGCCAGGCGGCCGTTCACCACATTATGTTTCTTCCAAAGCCAGAGGATGGCTTGGTCGGGGGTTTTCACCGAATCCATGGATTCTTTAGCCATTTCCTCAAAGTGCTCACCACATTCCTTACACCCAAAGAAGGTGTGAATGTACCTCCTCATCGTCTGCAGCACAGCCTGCGGGTCATCTTCAAAGCCTGCAGGGGAAGAAACACCGCTGACAATGGTAGATGCTGACAATGGCAGGTGCGTGAGGATCACCTGACCCCACGCCTGTCCAGAGAGCCCTGGGGGAAACTGCTCCTGACAGGTCCGGAAGCCACCTCACGTCTCCCCAGGGCCTCAGGCTGTGGGCACAGACCAGGAGCCAGCACCGGCCAAGATGTCCAACATGCCCACGGGTGCCGCAGTGTCTGGAGACACGATGACCGTGGACAGCCCAGAGGGTGGACGTGCCAGGATGAGCCACAGACTCGGCCGCCAGGGCCCCAAGGAGCCTTTCCAGGAGCTCCACGAACCTCCCACCAGGCTCCCGGCCGTCTGTGCCAGAACGCCCGCAGTGCCAAGCAATGGTTCTTCCCCAAGACTTGCCAGCTGGGTGCAGTCTCTCTTGCCCTACAAGTAACTCCCAGAGGCTGGTGCCAGGGCAATGACGCTGCTCATTCAAAATCTGCAGCTGTCGTGTCTGAAAGCCCTGCAGGACACCAGCCCAAGTGGGGACACGGCCTTAGGAAGTGACTCTAGGCTGCTGCCAGCCACAGGCATGAGGATGTGGAGCGGGTGGGCAGGCACAGGGACAGGTGTACCCACAAGCCAGAGTCTGTGCCACCGAACGTAAAAACAGCCGTGGACAGGCCGGGGCGCCTGCAGATGCTGTGAACGAACGCGCGTCTCAGGAAAGCAAAGCCCTGCCCGCAGGTGGCAGGAAGTGGCCAGCACCGCACCCAAGGGGAACCCCTAAGAAAACCAAGGGGGCAGCACGGGGCAGGGCTCGGCAGTCCCCGCTCAGACGACCGACACGGGAGCTTGAACGCACAGACAGGAGACCCATGAGATTAAAACAGATTACATGTCAGCATTAAAAAAAGACATGCTTTCGCGAATGAATCCGTCTTCATCGACAGCAGGCCCTGGGGGAGCTTCCCGCGCAAGCGAAGGCCTGACGCTTGTTGTGGCTCCCTGCAAAGCACAGCTGCGTGCAGGCCCTGATCTCAGCGTCCTGGTCGATCCTTAATCCCGACACTTCTTGTTTATTTCACCCAGAGAAGGTGAGAGTAGAGCAGAGCACCTCCTCCTCGGCCTTGAGTGTGTCCACAGGCAGCTGGGCGGTGTCTCAGGCGCCGGCCCTGTGACCTGGCCCGTCTGTCCTGCTCTCCTGCCGGGAGGGCTCCACGGACATCTGCCTTGCATCTCCACGTAATCCCCCTCCCTCTTCCCCACATCGCCGCAAGCATGGGGCCACCCTAATCTTTAAAGTGGACAAGAACCATAAACCTCTACCTGTGGGGGGATTAGAGGCCTTCGCAGGCATTTTACTAGATGGGGCTTAAACGTACAGCAAAGAGAAGAAAAACCTTCCAAGACTTAATCCTGTGGTCGCCACTGACCCAATTCTCTTGGCAGGAGGCTACTCCTGGAGGCTGCTTCCAATATGCTGATGGGAGGAAGGAGCGCTGAGGGTCTTGTCAGCGGTATGCTTTGCCATCACGCTGCTCTTACAGTTCCACTACACTAGGCCCGGTGCTAGCATAGTTTAAAATCAAATACCCTGGTCATTCAACTTCTTCCCTCAGCCAACACTGTACCCACACTGCCTTCAAGGAGCCGTTCCTCATGCCCACATGTGCCCGTGTGATGAGAGCAGACGGAAAGGGGGAAGGCGTGTCAGCTCAGGCCTGCGTGTGCCCGTGTGATCAGAGCAGATGGAAAGGGGGATGGCGTGTCAGCTCATCTCCTCACCAGAACTTTCCGTGTGTAAACATGAGGTTTCCTAACTCAGCCTCACGTTTCAGAAACAGTTATTTTTTTTGAGACAGTCTTTCTTTTGCCCAGGCTGGAGTGCAGTGGCATGATCTCGGCTCACTGCAGCCTCCAGTGCTGGGATTACAGGTGTGAACCTTGTGCATGGCCCAGAATCAGGTTTACATGGTCTGGCTGGGCATTAGATCAAGCAGTGTGGATGCTCTGATTTCAATTTCTGTTTGGACAGCTCCCAACATTTCTCCCCAAAAACATACTACTCTTTTTTTCTGTATCATTATGAAAAGGATTTGAGGTTAAAACCCACCCTCTCCCCTAACCAGACCCTCGAGAAGCAGTAATCCAGTGTCACCTTGAGGAGGGCCAAAACAGTAGATTTTCAGATGTCCACTACAGTGCCCCCATCCCAGGACACTCGCCCGCAATGTGACTTTGCTGCTTCTCCCATTAACAGGTGGAATCTATTTCTCTCACCAGGAATTTAGGCTAGATCAACAGAATACGGCAGAAGTGATACTATGTGACTCCACACTGAGGCCTCTCAGGGGGTCCTGCCTGAACCTGGTGCTACTTGGTGGGGAAACCACATTCAGGAGCATGAGGCATTCCAAGGTCCCCTGGACTGACCAGCTGCCACCAGATGAAGGAAGACACGCAAGTGAGCCCAAGCAGCAACTCACAGAAGAACCGCCCAGCCAAGCCCAGTCTAAATTGCTGACCCACAGCATGATAAGCAAACACAGTGGTGGCTGCTGTAAGTCTCAGCATTTTAGGTTAGTTTGTTATGTGGCAAAAAAGGACTGTAAAAGAATTTGAGAATTTTACTGGAAAGAGTATTGAACTGTGTGAGTCAAGACTCCACTTCGGCTTTCAAGTAAACATTAATGAACCTGAATCACTGCTTCAACTGAGAAGCACACGCACATCAAAATTCAGAGGGAATAAAAAATCCAATACATACTTTAGTGTTCTGTAAAGGACAGAAAATTTTATTTTATCTATTTCCTAGTAATTGAAAATTATTAAATCCACCTTCAAAGTTTTATAGGTTTTAACCCCTTGCAGTGGGCAGCCTCTGCGACGGTCCCCAGAGATCATGCCACCTACACTCACCCCGCCTGTAATGTCCACCCCTTGCGAGTGGCCTGGGCCTGGTGACTACTGAGCAGAATCTGACAGAGGTGACGGAATGTCATCCTCCGATGGGCACTCTCTCACTAGCTCGCTCAGGAGGCTTGCTGCTATGATGTGAGCCGCCCCACGGAGAGGCCCTAAGCGCCTGCAGTCAACAGCCAGCATGGAGCTCAGGGCCTTAGGCAAGCCACGTGCAAGGAGGTGTGCCCTGCTCTCTGCCCCATGAGGGTGCTGGGAAGCCACTCTCCCTAGGTGGGTCTCGGGTGACTCCCCAGGCCCCGCTGACACTCCGATTGCAGCCTGACCAATCCTGAAGACGAGGACCCAGATGAGGCCATGCCCGACCCTCAGAAACTGTGAGCTCATCACCATGGGAAGTTCTGGCTGCTAAATTTCGGGGTGATTTGTTATGCAACAGCTGATAATGAAAACACCTCTCCAAATAGATTTCACTTATTCTTTTTTTTTTTTTTTTTTTTGAGACGGAGTCTCGCTCTGTCGCCCAGGCTGGAGTGCAGTGGCTGGATCTCAGCTCACTGCAAACTCCGCCTCCCGAGTTCACGCCATTCTCCTGCCTCAGCCTCCCGAGTAGCTGGGACTACAGGCGCCCACCGCCTCGCCCGGCTAGTTTTTTGTATTTTTTTAGTAGAGACGGGGTTTCACCGTGTTAGCCAGGATGGTCTCGATCTCCTGACCTCGTGATCCGCCCGTCTCGGCCTCCCAAAGTGCTGGGATTACAGGCTTCAGCCACCGCGCCCGGCCTATTCTGTATTTTTAAAGCAAAAAACAGGGAGTTTACACTGCAGGAAAATTCCCAGCCAGCATTCCCTCTCTTCTCCATGGTTTAATTTCCTGCACGTTAGCCACGCACATCCTTGTGAGTTCTGACAAGGGGAACTGGTGCCCCCGCAGCCACAGCCCTGGGTAAGCTGCCTGTGGGCGGAGTCTGAAGTGCGGTTCCCCTGCCTCGGTGCCCTGGCGACACACTGCCTCACATACAGCAGTACGCGCCTTCGCACACACCGGCTGGGTTAACGTGTTGGGCAGTCCATCGGCCCCTCCGGCCTGTACAGGGACAGCTTACCTGTGCCAACCAGGGCGTCTGGATGGGTTGAGGCTTCGACAGTCAAAGTGTGGAACAGTTTCCAGAGAGAACACGGGTAACCCCTCAACTCAGATCGGCTTCCTTGACATCCAACCCACTTTATGTGATTAGTAAGGAATATTCCAGAAATCTGGAAAAAAAAAAAAAAAAAAAAAAAACCCCAAAGAATAAAAGATAATTGTTGAAATTAACAACAGTCGACAGATACCTTCTTGACTGGGGGGGTGGTTAATGGGGGTGTGGTTTACTGAAGCTGATTCAACTGTACACACAAGATCTGTGCCTCCTACCGTACGCAAATTTAAATTCAATAAAACAAACGAGAGGAAATGGTCTCCTTTACTAAAGGAGCTCTCAAGCCACTCTGAAGAGAAGAGAGAGTTCTTCCGTATCTTGATAACCAGTAATGTTAACCATAAAAAGTATTCACCCTTTCTTTTAAATTAGAATTAGTTGTAAGGACAGTATTAAGAGAAAAAGCAACTAACAACATAAAAAAGCTCAACCATCAAATAACTCTCGGCCAGAAGAAACAAGGTGTGTTCACTTTGGAGAAGCAATGGGGTGGCCCTCGGAGCAGGTGACTGCTGGCCCGGGAGGGCTGTGAGCCCCGGACAGATTCCGTTCGGTTTGGTTTTGTGTCTCATCCACCTTTCCCTCCCTAAGGACTCCTGAGCCCGGGACGCGCGCTCGAGGGAGATGTCCTACGTCACAGTCACGTGAGAGGGTGCGCCCACGACCTCGAGCTCAGAGTGGAGTCAAGGTGGAAGACAGACTCAGGCAAGAAGCCCAGCACCGTCTGCTTCTCAGCTGCAGCCAGCAAATGACAAAGCTGGCAAAGTCACAGCACGGTAAGTGCACCTTATAGGATTCCCAGAAGACCTGCTGTGTGCCACTGACCACGCCGGCCACGCTGACCACGCCGGCCATGGGGGCGTCGGACAAGCAGCATGGTGGGTTTACTGCCCGCGACTAAATGCTCTGGGGGCCACAGAGAAGCTGCTGATCTGGACTAAGGAGGGAACGGCAAGAGGGAGTGCCAGGACCGCTCGGGGTGCTGGTCCCCTGAGTGAAGACTGGCACCTGCTGGTAGCTGGTCTTGGGGAAAGCTCCGGCAGGACTGCCCACACTTACTGAATACAACGTTTTTCCTTAGATTGGCTTACTAAATTTAAAAAGCCCAAGTACTACACTGCTTGAGAAAACCCCATTTTGTCCAAAGGACAGGTGGTCACAGTGCACTTTTGGTGAGCTGTCCTCAAACTGAAGCCCCAGCATGACGCTGCCAAGGCAGACACGAGGCCGTAGCCATGACGCTGTCATGGAGACAGTAAGTCGCTGCTCCCCTTCATCACAGCGGAGCCCGGGCCCTGAGCAGGGAGACGCACCAGCTAAGGGCGAGGGAAGGAGGGCGCGGCGTGGCTGGCAAGGGTTCTGGGGCTCACCCGCATCTTGTTGTTGACCAGGTCGAGCACAGCGTTGTAGGGGATCCTGTCCAGGGGAAGGCTGGCCAGCCACTCCTGCAGCGTCTCCAGCAGCTTCCTGACTGGCGGTCGTCCAGGGAACAGCTGCACGAGGAAGGAGCCACCAGAGAGCTACAGACCCAACCCGGGCCCGCCCCCACCGCCGGGCACAGCACCTCCGGGGACACAGCACCTCCGGGGACAAGCAACTCCATCTGCGGAGGGGCTGAACCTAGGACGGGGCCTCTCAGAACTCGGGTTTCTCTGATGGGAGGCAGGAAACCTGAGGGGCTGTGGGGCAGGCGTCCAGCCAGCACCTCTCCCCAGGACAGCCTGTGCCCACGGCCATGCCTTTCTCCAGCCCATGCCTGCAGCTCACCCACCTGTGCCCACGGCCTCGCTCCCTCCAGGTGACAGGCAAGGTCACGGTGTGTGACTCATCATGGAACTGGCAGGGGCTTGATTTATTCTGCCTTCCTCACCAGGAGCTGCGCTGACCCCACCTGCCTGCCCGCTGGGCTTCCCTTCCGTCATCGCTGACTGTGTGAAGGGCGCGCGGCAGTGCACAGGTGCCGGCAGCCGGGGCTAACTGCCTGTGGCCTCATGTGGGCTGTGAGGCTGGCTGACATCAACACAGCTTAGGGAGGCATCTGGCTGAGAAGATCCCAGGGCTCTGTCTTTTTAGGAGGAACTCCGATCAGCTGCTGCACCACAAACCGTGCAAAACGCAGGCTGCCGAAAGAGCTCCGAAAACCCGAGCTGAAGCTCATGGTGGCGATGCCAGACCAGAAATGCCGGCATCTTCAGCTCAGTCCAATGTATTACTCTCCCACGCAGGTTAAAAAGTACCATGATTAATTTACCAATATCAAATTTATTTTGGACATCCAAATAAAGTTCAGAAAAATATTCAGAATAACTGATTAATACCCTGGCCTAAGGGGTTACCTACAGCACAAGTGTAAAAGCTCCAGGCCTAACTAGACTGAGGGGGAAGACAGAGAAGCGGGGAGAGGACAGCAGGTCTGCCTCGCAACAGCTGTGTGACTCCAGCGAATTAGCTGGCCGGCGGCCATCACCACTAAGAGCCACACTGTCCTCCGCTAATATGATGGACAGATTAGCAGGACACTTTCTTAAAGGAAACGAGGCCAGCTAGAGATTTCTGAACTCTGGATGGCACCGTGGGGTAAAAATCTGCCGAGGCGATGTTCGTGCACTCATCTGCGGTGCCTCTGGTCCTTCAAGGCTTCCTGTACTTTTCAAAAATCACATTGTAAGTAAACTCTATCCAAAGTGCTGACTATAAATTATTCTATCACTAGCATCTTATTTTTGGCAAGAGAAATAGTTTAAGCCTAAGCCTCCTGGTCATTTAGACAGTAACAAGTAACTGAGCTCATGGAGTTACACCTGGCCACCTCCTTGGCTGGTCCTCTTCAGCCTGGCCCTGGGCACAGCCAGGCCTGAGCTCTGTTGGGCTGCATCTCTGCCCGCTCCTGGCAACCCCCTCAGTGGTTTCAGACACCACATCTATGCTTGTGATGGTGCTGAGTGTGAAGCCCCCAGGACCCCTCCCTGAACCTGGCTGGCAGAGCAGGTGCACACCCCACCTGGATCTGCACGGCCCCTGCCTTTCCCTCTCCTGCCCAGCCCCTGTGCACCGCTCCCTCCGAGAGCCAGCTGAGGTGTGCGCCTCCGTTCCCTCCTCCGTCTCCTCTCCAGGAAGCCAAAGCTGGGTTTTTCCAACAGGCGCTTGGCTCATGGCCCCGCCCCTCTCCATAGCCACCGCCCCAGCCCCAGTGCTGGGAACAGCATGGGACGCAGGAGGCACTCGGAAAACAGGTGGAATGAGTTGGGGCACAGGCCTGAGCGGACAAAGCAAGGTGGAGAGCACCTCAGTGGAGACGGCGGAGCCCCCGCAGGGTCCGACGGCCCCCAGGGCCCACTCTGTGCAAGGCCAAATTCCCACACACAGCCCAGACCAGAACCGTCCCAAACCTTAGCCAAGACAGTCACAAAGTCCTTGAGCGTCTTCAGCTCTGCTCCAGCCAGGGACCTGTGGGCTGCCAGCTCCACCCGCAGGAGGTAGTGCAGCCCTGACTCCAGGTCCGCCGTGTACAGCTTGGACCTACGACGGGACACGGCAGAGTCAGGGAATGCCCAACCTTTCCCTCCACAGCACCTCTCCCTGGCCTGGCTCCTCCCCACGGACTCCCGGGGCCCCCGGGAGGGCTCCTGAGCGTCCCTCAGCAGCTGGGGTGGGTTTCTGAGTGAGCCCGCCCAGCAAGCACACGGCCTTCAGTCTACCCGCGCTGTCCCCCGGGAGCTTCAGTTCAAAATGAATACTTGCTTGTCAAATTCTCTCCAAACCACGACTTCTGAATTTTCTTCTTTGTTTGGCTTTTCAGGCAAGGAAAGCGATTTTTTCCTCACATCCGGCAATGACTTCAGGTAAGAGGAAAAGAAGGCCCGCAGGGGCTTCACGCTGTGAGAAAGGGGAGGGCAAAGGTGAGAAGAGCTTCCTTTATAAAATCCTGAAGCAGGAGCCCCCGGCATTCAGGAAAGCTCTGGGCCACCCCATCCATCCTTCGGGCATGTACTGGGGACTGGGGGTCCGTGGGGACAGCTGACACCCCGCCTGGGCCGCGGCTGAGCTTCCACCTGGGGGTAAGAGGAGACGCACCAAATCCACAGATGTATAGCCAGTTCCACTTGTCGTAAGTACTATGACTCATTTATGTTTGTGGGGAACTTAAGGCGTTTTGTAAAGCTGGGTTGAGCATCTGCCAAGATCAGCTTTATTCTGACTGAGATTTCCGACATGCCTAAGAGCCTTCGCCGACGCGCCCACAATCTGCCAGCCCTGAGTGGGGCATCTGGAAGTCGGGGCCTGGGGTGGATGTCAGCCCCTCCCTTAAGTCAGGCCCCTGAGCCCCCTGCGTGCCCGCCCTGCATGGACAGGGTGGAGCTGAGCCCCCTGCGTGCCCTCCCTGCGTGGACACGGTGGAGCTGAGCCCCCTGCGTGCCCTCCCTGCGTGGACACGGTGGAGCTGAGCCCCCTGCGTGCCCTCCCTGCGTGGACAGGGTGAAGCTGAGCCCCCTGCGTGCCCCTGCGTGGACAGGGTGGAGCTGAGCCCCTTGCGTGCCCTCCCTGTGTGGACAGGGTGGAGCTGAGCCCCCTGTGTGGACAGGGTGGAGCTGAGCCCCCTGCGTGCCCTCCCTGTGTGGACAGGCTGGAGCTGAGCCCCCTGTGTGGACAGGGTGGAGTTGAGCCCCCTGCGTGCCCGCCTTGTGTGGACAGGCTGGAGCTGAGCCCCCTGTGTGGACAGGGTGGAGTTGAGCCCCCTGCGTGCCCGCCTTGTGTGGACAGGCTGGAGCTGAGCCCCCTGTGTGGACAGGGTGGAGCCACCTTCTGGGGACACCCTCAATGCCATTATCGAGCACTTCAGTGTGACGCGGAGCTTGTTTCCAAAGACAGAATGTAGCAGTGATATTTGCAAAAATATTGAAATATCTACAAAACTACTAACATTATTTGACACTAAGAAGTTGTCTATATGATACTTTTAACACTAAACAAACATCTGGCAGTGGTTCAGGCCGCTCTGCCAAGGGCAGTGCTGTGCCCCAGGCCTGGAATGGGCCACCTTGTCGGCACAGCAGGGTCCCCAAGCACTCAGAGCATCTCCTAACAAGCTCAATAGCCTCTGTGGTTACCCTGAATTCCAGCTTTATCTTTTTTATTTCCACTTACCTATTTTTGAGACAGGATCTTGCTCTGTTGCCCAGGCTGGAGTGCAGTGGTGCAATCTCAGCTCACTGCAGCCTCAACCTCCTGGGCTCAAATGCTCCTCCCACCTCAGCACCCTGAGTAGCTGTGGCCACAGGCACACTCCGCCACACCCAGCTAACGTTTTATTTTTCATAGTCTGGAGTCTCATCATCAACCTGGGCTGGTCTCAGACTCCTGGGCTCAAGTAATCCTCTCACCTCAGCCTCCCAAAGTGCTGGGATGACAGGGGTAAGCCACCACGCCTGGTCTCCTTTTCAAAAGGACAGAAAAATATCTAAGAAGCTGCGGTCTTCGGGGCTTCTGTAGGGCGCCCTCCATGCCCCAGTCGATCTTTGAAGAGGCTAAACTGGAAGCCCCAAGAGACAGGAAACATGTCCTATCTTCACTGCTGTGTCCCTGCACCCAGGAGCCTGGTGTGGTGAGTCACCAAGAGCCACAGAGTCAACCGTGGCTAAACCCGCACATGCCGGAGGCGCTGCGGCTTCAGGCCAGGGAAAGGGGCCACCCAGTGTGGGGCAGGCTGGCCTCATGCTGTCCTTCTCCCCAAGGTGAGGAGGCTGGGTCCCCTCCAGCCTCAGGATGTTACTTAACTTTCTCAATCATTTTTTTTCTTTTCTTTTTCTTTTCTTTTTTTTTTCTTTTTTTTTTGAGACAGGGTCTGGCTCTGTTGCCCAGGCTGGAGTGCAGTGGCATGATCTTAGCTCACTGCAGCCTTGACCTCTGAGGCTCAAGCGATCCTCCTACCTCAGCCTCCCGAGTAGCTGGGACTACAGGCACACACCATCAGGCCTGGCTAGTTTTTTATTTTTAGTATAGGCGGGGTCTCGCTATGTTGCTTGGGCTGGTCTTGAACTACTAGACTCAAATGATGCACCTGTGCCCAGCCTCATTTTTCTCACTGTTCTAACTTTACTCAAGTTGTTTACTTTTTTGTTGGGCTTATCTGAAGGGCACACAGGCACTCTGCGCAGAGGCAAAGGGCTTATCTGAGGGGCACACGGGCACTCCGCGCAGAGGCGAAGGGCTTATCTGAGGGGCACACGGGCACTCCGCGCAGAGGCAAATGGCTTGCCAAGGTTCTGCGGTTCTTAAAGAAGAGAGCAGAACATGAGGGCAGGGCCTGGCGCCCACCCCTACTTCTCATTCTGCAGAGGCAGGCACATGGGTTTGCCTGCCAGCCCCAGATACAGATCGAACTGCAGCCCAGAGTCTACCCAGAGCCGTGTTTGAGGAGCATCTGCTGCTCCCGAAGCACTGGCCCAGCAGCCCTTGTGCATGTGCGGGTTTAGCCACGGTTTCCTCTGCGGCTCTTGGTGAGTCACCACACCAGGCCCCTCCTAGGTGCAGGGACACAGCAGTGAGAAAACAGAAATCCACGAAAACACAGCACAGATCAGCAATACCCAAGGGTTGAAAGCCAGGGCCCAAATCTGCCCAGGGAAGTGGGGCGGAGGGGCCAGGGCTCCCTGGATCTCACACCAGACTTGCGTGGTCTACTCGGAGCCTCTGTTCAGTAACTCCGCACAGCACCGGGTTCCCAGATCCCACATGGCACTCACACGTTAATCAATCCGTGCGACCCATTTGGGTAGATCAGGTAACACGCAGGAACTGAGGAAACACCGAGCTTCTCCAGAAATGCTTTGTCCCCATCCAGCGCCCGGACCACCACGATGCCTTCGTACGGGATCAGGTCTAAGATCACCTGGGGGGTGAGAACACAGTGACACTTCCACAGGGGCGGGCAGCTTCTCAGAAAACACGACGCGCAGATACATGGCCTTGCAGGGAACCTTTCCCAGAAGGGCACGGAGTGTGCCCCCTGCAGGCAAGACCCTCACTCACATCCTCACGCACATGTGAATTCCTATCGCACTTTAAGGCAACCGATGGCACACACGCCATGCGCAGAAACCAGTGTTATTTGGCAATTTTACAGACCAATCAAAGAACACCCTTATCCATGAATTTGCACTTGACTTTCTAAAACCAGGGCGCCTCTAACAACACTGACACTGGTCAAGTGAGTCCTTGTACACAGCAGCCACGCCCCATGGCCTCACGCTCCTGTCCCGCGCGTGGAAGCTTCATGGCCGGGGCAGCAGGCCTCGAGCTGCCGCTCCTCCCCAGCCACCCTGCTCCTGTCTGGTTCTGCTCAGGCTGAAGGGGCAGCAACAGGGTCTCGGTGGCAGAGAGAGCACAGGACTGGCATCTCAGCATTTCGGAGGAAACCCCGTGTGCGCCACCACCACATCGGGCGTACGTCTTTCCTTCTCTTAGAGAGCAACAAAACCAGCTGCTCCTCAAACCAAGGGCCGTGGCTAAAGGGGTGAACTGGGCGCCCCGAGTGGCCGTGCCTCTCCTGAGCTGGGTGTGTCTGCGAAGAGCTGATCACTACTCTTGGGCCGCACTGGTGTCTGGGTCGTGCCGTGACTCTGTGCTGAAGAGCACTCCTCCTGCACGGGTGGAGCCTGGCTGCCCCGAACGCAGCAGCATGCCAGGGAGGTAGGGGAGCGTGCAAGATGGGCCCACACCCACCTCTGCTCGGGGGAACACCTGCCTCTGGTGTGCGTGTGTGGAGGCCCTGCCTGAGACAGCAAAGGCACGAGGGGCCTTGGGACAAGGGCGAGGGGTCTGGGAGAGCCACACACCGCTAGCGGTTCCTCAGCCCTCCACGGAGAACCCTGCCAACCACGGGAAGGTATCCTGCCGTCACCACCAAACCTGGAGGGGGCGGGGCTGGGGTGCCAGGAGGGCAGCCAGGGCACGAAGCGAGATGGTCACAGCGCGGGTGTCTGCAGCTTCCTTCCCAAGAGTGTCTCCAAAAGCCCTCGCAAGGGCAACGCTGTTTCCTCCACTCAACGCAAGGCCCCCCCAGTGGACAGAAAAACAGTTGCCTATCAGGTTGCAAGGAGGAGGAGGAGAAGCTCAGGGTGAGCGCTGGGCGAATGTGTGCGCGGCGAGGCCTTTCGTCTCCGGAAAGACTTGGCAATAATGACTCTCCCTGGGCTGCCCCTGCACCTGGTCCCTGGACCTTATTTAGACCTGGCCAAAAGCGAGGCTTCAGAACTGTACGTGTGAAATCCAAGTATGACGATGATAGAAACAATGTTTTACGGAATCTTGGATTTGGCAAAAATGTCGAGCGTTCAGAATATAGCAATGAAAAAATCTCAGCAATACCGCACGCGAAATACAGAATGACCTCAAGGTGAGCTGAGCCTGTCGTAAAAATGAGCTCTTCTGCAAAGCCCTCTCTTAGTTTCAAACCTGGGGTTAGGCCACCTTCTGAACCCCTCCCACCGCCAAGCTCGTTCCTCCTAACAGTCTTCTCCAGACACCAGCGACTTTGCTGAGTAACATTAACTACGCTTCCGATAATGAACAAGACCTAAAGCCACAGACAGGACACGAGACGCCGACGCAGTGACCGGCATCCACGAATCTCATCACAGATGCACCGCCAACCCCAATCACACCACGTGTGACATCTGGAGCCCACGCAGAGGCCGTACCTCCCGTCCAAGGTAGGAGCTGTTGCTTTCAAAGACAATAGCCACATAATGGCTGCCACGGTTGTCAAGGAGGGAAAGAACATCACTGGGCCTTTCAAGAGAAAAAAAAGAGGCTTTTAGTGCTGTCAACAGCAGCGAGTTGCCCACCACATTCCAGTGGCCACATCACTTAAGAGAAATCTATTACACTTCTCGCACAGCTCAACATGAGTCTAACAGCCACCTTCTTCCTGGGGCTACTCACTGAATGGGGTCCAGGGGCGGGCAGGCAGGCGGCCGGCTTCCTTCCGTGTGGTTCTGCAGGAAGTCAATCATGGTCTGTCTGACTGTTCGCAGCTCTCGGTCGGGTCCTGCCAGAAGCACACCAGGGTCAGAAGTGTGTGCAGCTGTCCTCGACGGGCAGGTGCACACCCAGGGACAGCAGCCCTGTCCCAGCCCGGGGCCCAAAGACAGCAGGGTGCAGGTGGCAGCAACGTGTGCAATCCCAGCGGGTGTGCCCAATGCCATCTACAGGCATGGTATAGACAGCACGGGATTCACACAACTAGAGACCACACGGCAATGAGACACGCATAGGTGGGCCACACGGACAGGCAACAGAGGCAGATGGCAAGACACAGCGTGGCAAGGAGCAGGCCAGGCAATTCCACCAGGCCACTTACAGGCAGAGCCCCCACAGGTGCGGCCTACGGGGTCTGATCACACTGGGTGATGCTCGCCTGGGTGAGGTGGTTTGCAAAAATTCATCGGGTGTGTACATGTGATCTGTACATCTCCAGATATTTTATAATAACAAATTTACTCTGAAAAAGTTTTTACTACCATATTTGCCAAGCAAGGCAAATCACAAAATGAAAATTTCTCTTTGAAGCTATTAACGTCTGAACTCTTGAGGGAAAGCAGGCAGGAAAGGTCAGCAGAGGCAAAGGTGCTGGCCCGGGCTGGGAGCTCCCCAGGCTCCGGGACCGCGTGTCTTTAGCAGGTTTATGAGGGGAATCGCAGGGACTAAAATACAAGGCTTATGTCCTTACCTTTAAAATTTTCTCCAGTTGTAAACTCCTTTGTAAATGCTTTAAAATACTACGAGGAAAAACACAGAACAAGTAAGAGGCAGCCTCGCGTGGGCATCTGCATATGTGTTTAAGCAACAAAACGACCGTCACCTTAGAGAAGGAGCTTTACTCAATTTCCTTCGGAAAGTTTTCATAAATTGATGACAAACCACATGCTTCTCCGTGTCTCTGTGCATATTAGTGTTTCCTGTCAGATTTACGAGGGGGCTAAGGTTAGCTCCAATCAGCAGTCCCATCATTGACATCTTCTGACCCAACAGGGCTAGAAGCAAAAGACAGTTCAACTGGGCTGGAATCACTAAAGACACAGCTCTCCGGGACTTGGTAGTGAGCGTGTGTCCCAATGGTGAGCTGTAACGTTAGCTGTAACCACGCAGAGATCTGCAGGAGGAGGAGACACCACGCAGTACCTCTGAGTGGATGACAAGGGTTCCTAGGTTAAAATTAAAAACTTTCTTCATCAAAGGGCACATCAAAGACAGCGACGAGACAAGGTTACAGGATGGCGGAGATCAGGTCGGTAAGAAAAGCACCGGCCAGCCAAGAGGGAAATGTGCAGACGACAGGCAGACACTTCACCCGTGACACCCACGGCCCATGAAGCCAGATGCGCTGGCACCGCAGCTGCCAGGGCAATGCAAATGAAGCTGCCAGTGCTTCCGACTGCACCGCTCCCTGGGCGAGCACGAAACTGCCTGACGCTGCTGGCCCTGCAGGTCTGTTGTGCACAGACCTGGTTCGCGGCCCGGTGGCTTCTCTCCCAGCCTCAGCTCTTCCCGTGCCCGGGAATGAACACAGCAGTGCTGTTCAAAGCCACCAAAGCCTGGAAGAGGCCACATGCCTGGCAACGGGGGGTTCTGGTTCTCAGAGTGACATCACCGGACAATCCCATCCAATGAGCATCGTAGTAGATCTGAGCAATGTCCCATTAAGTAATGGAAAGGAGGCCCGAAAGTTTACTCACAGCACAGCGTGACCTGTGTCTGAAGCTAAAACAAAACAGGAAGCCGTCCTGACGTAATCACACGCAGGGGCAGGCAAGCAAGCGTGCGACACAGGCCCCGAGAGGCCCTGGGGCGGGGCTGGCACTGGTGCTGCCCAGCGTGGCACCTGTTGGGGCAGGACCACAGGTGCTGCCAGCACAGTGAAAACAACAGCCCCCAAAACACAAGGGAAGCCACCATGACGTGACACCACACCACACAGCAAGGCACCAGGGCTGACAAGGACGGGGGCACAGAGCTTCCTGGGAAGTGGGCCCAAGGCGCCTACATTTCTGGAGATGTCCATGTCAAGGCGTGCAGGAGGCAGCGGCACCGGCGTGTACACACATGCTATGCACGGGCCTGCAACAGGTCACAGGTACCTCTGCCCCCTAGTGGGAGCAACGGGCACAGCCTTGTCTTCTGCGGGGCTGACCCTGGCTCAGGAAGGCAGAGGCCCTGTGGGTGTGTGCGTGTGAGTGTGCACGTGTGTGTGTGTTCCACCGAGGGGAGCCCCGTGGTACACGGACCACATGCGTGGCTTCAGGCTGGGGTGCCAGCCCTTGTGCTCCTGGTGTCCTTGCGCCCTCTGGCCACGCAGGCTGCAGGAGGTCTTTTCACGCATCCCCTCCATGTGACCGGGGCTGTGTGAGCATGGACAGTCCCACAGACACTTCTGCAGCACAACAGGGTGGAACAAGAGCTGCCCCCAGCAAACATCAGTTCCTACAATTCCTACAAAGTTTCAAGGAGAGAGCCAGAGAGGCCAAAACACAGGCACGACGATGTGGCGAATTTCAACATACAAGAAACCCCGTGATACTCACCCGGAAGGTGGGGTAGAAGTGGATGTCATAGTCATGGCACACGGCCTGGTTCTTCTCTTCCATGCAGTCCAGAGCTGCCACGCGGATGGCGCTGGCCCAGTCTGAAAAGCAGGAGCATGACCTTCAGTGCGGTGAGCACTGAACTCTCGGGAAGCCCAGGACCCAGCGGTCCCCACTCCAGGCTGCAGACACCTAAGAGACCAGCCCACCTACCCCTTCTACGTCATCAGTTAGGCCCTCACCACACACAGCGTCTATGTGGAGCGATGAAAGAGAACTTCCACCAACAGCATGATGCCTCTCCTACCACAGACGGTCACAGAACAAGCGGATTTGTGCTGAACTTGCACATCACGGAGCAGGGACGAGACTGTGGTCCCCTAAGTAAATGACACCCTGATGGATGAAAGCGCTGGTTACAGAAGCGGCTGTCAGCGGCCGGCACTTCATCAGGACAGCAAGCAAGTATGTGTAGATTAATCAGACGTGGTCCAGGCTGTTTGGTAAAAACTTTCCCATGTTCTCACTCCAGCGAGCAGGTACTGGCAGCACCTGAGCAGGGTCTTTCAGGGCAAGGACGTGCGCACAGACACATGTGAAGTGGTTTCCAACCCCATCCCAGGCACTGCCCACAAACCC